GATTTCAGACCGAATATTCAAACTACCATGGTAAACAATATAGGGAGCATGTCAGAGGTTGCCACTGAACCAATGTGCAAATATAAAACCAACTTTACCTCAATATTGAAGTGTGCAAAGATCTCTCTTACACATACTCTCTCACACTCCATGAAAAAAATTTAAAAATTAAGGTTTTCTGCAGCGTCACTGATGACAAATTTTACCTGTTCTGAGCAGAGAAAAGCACCAACAATAAACAATACATGATTATATGGTGTCATGGCTTTACAATCAAATAATTCTTTTCTACTGGAGGTTAATGGGGAAAAAAAACATGAAAAGCCACCAACATAAAAAAAATAGTAGTCAATTTGCCCAGACTATATTGTTGAGTTTGTGAAAAATTCAAGAGCATTTTCCTAAAATATACATGTCAAAATAAGATGTCACTAAAAATCACTGCATTTGCTGAGAAACAGAGGAAATTGTGGCCAAATAAATCCTAAAAATTACCCCAGAGTGGATGAAAACATACCCAACAGCACACAAGGCTTAAGCCTTCAGGCCATAAGTTTCAGGCTATCAGTGCAGACTCCAGTTACTAAAAACAGCCTGGAAAAATCTGGAGAAATCTATCAAGGTGACCTGCATCATCACATCATCAATTTAGGAAAGATTGGTTTTATTTTCGCACAATTAGACTTTCTCCTTAATAATATCATTTCAGAAAAGTATTGTTTGCAAACTCTAAAAAGTGAAATCACATTATCAGGCAATGACTATCAATGTACATTTCTCACAGTCAAACAATTAGTGCTAATGTTGTTTTGAAGTCATATACTAGCATGTGATTTCAGACCAAATATTCAAATTACCATGGTAAACAATATAGGGAGCATGTCACAAGTTGTCACTGAATAAATGTGCAAATATAAAACCAACTTTACCTCAAGATTGAAGTGTGCAAAGATCTCTCTTACACATGCTCTCTCACACACTCCATAAAAAACTGAAATTAAGGTTTTCTGCACTGTATCAGATGACAAATGTTACCTGTTTCCAGCAGGGAAAAACACTAACAATAAAAAATGCACGATTATATGGTGTCATGGCTTTACAATCAAGAAATATTGTTATAATGGATGTTAAATTTAAGAGCATTTTCCTAAAACAAGTCAAAATAAGATGTCATTAAAAATAATTGCATTTGCTGAAACACAGAGAAAATTGTGGCCAAATAAATCCTGAAAACATCCCCAACAGCACACAAGGTTTAAGTCTATGTATATTCTACTACATAAGAAGCTTTCAGGCTATCATTGCCAACTCCAGTTACTAACAACTACCAGGAAAAATCAGGAGGAATCTGGAAAAATCCATCAAGGTGACCTGCAACATCACATCATCAATTTAGGAAAAATTGGTTTTATTTTCGCACATTCAGACTTTCTCCTTAATAATTTAATTTCAGAAAATTATTACTTCCAAAATATAAATAGCGAAATCACATTATCAGGCAATGACTATGATTGTGCAACATGATTTACAGCCAAATAAGCAGTGCTAATGTTGTTTTGAAGTCATACTTGCATTTGATTTTAGACTGAATATTCAAATTACCATAGTAAACACTATAGGGAGCATGTCAGAAGTTGCCAATGAACGAATGAATATTAAAATAACTTTACCTCAATATTGAAGTGTGCAAAGATCTCTCTTACACATACTCTCTTTTACACACACTCCATATAAAAGACAGAAACTAAGCATTTTTTGTACTGTAACTGACCAGAAGTTTGACCTGTTCCAAGCAGGGAAAAGCACCAACAATAAAGAATGAACGTTTATATTGTGTCATGGCTTTACAATTAAAAAATATTTTTTCTAATGGATGTTAATGGGGCAAAAAATAAAACAAAAAATGGAAAGCCACCAACATAACAAAATGGTAGTCAATTTGCCCAGACTAAATTGCTGAGTTTGTGAAAAATTCAAGAGCATTTTCCTAAAATATACAGGTCAAAGTAAAATGTGTCACTAAAAATCACTGCATTTACTAAGAAACAGAGAAAATTGTGGCCAAATATATCATAAAAACCACTCCAGAGGGGATGAAAACCTCCCCAACAGCACACAAAGTTTAAGTCTACATATATTCTACTACATAATAAGCCTTAAGGCCATAAGCCTTCAGGTTATCAAGGCAGACTCCACAGTGACTAACAGAAGCCTGGAAAAATCAGGGGGAATCTGGACAAATCCATAATGACCTGCATCATCACATCATCAATTTAGGACAGATTGGTTTTATTTTTGCGCATTCAGATTTTCTCCTCAATTTCATTTCAGAAAAGTATTTTTTGCAAACACTAAATGGGGTACAACAGTACAACATGGTTTACAGTTTATTAATGCTGTGCTGTTTTAAAGTAACACTTGCATGCTATTTCAGACCAAATATTCAATATAGCGGTAAGCATTAGGTGGGCGTAGCAAACTTACTGATTTTTTTCGAAAGCATTAGGTATGAGAGTCTCTGCTGTGATCAGGAATAAGAGTGAGACACAAAGATTACACAGATATACATAACTTGTCTACGACCCGTAAGTATACTCAGAGATTGGTGTCAAAAGGTAATCTGTACCACAGATTAGACAGTTTAAAGCATTTAGGCACAGAAAATTAACATTTTACAAACTTCAAGACAGATTAATTGTATTTAGGAACAGTATATATGCAATGAATATTAATCAGTGTTTTTATTTTACATTTAATTATTCAATTTGTTTTACCTGAATAAGACTACCAGAAAAACCAGAAAGCATTTTTTTTTTCATTTGTAACTTTGCTTTAATGTATTTATCATGTGATTGTTTATTACATTTAATGCAGTTGTGCTCCACTACAAAATCATTCTATTGTCATCAGAAATTATCCAAAAATTATAAATTCTTTTCAAATAGAGCTTTTCATTTCACCTGTTAAAACTATACTCAACATCGCCATATGTATCGAAAAAAATAAAATATTGCTATGTCCGTTTTTTCCAATATCGTGCAGCCCTACACAGTACACTGGAAAAAAAATCGAACATTGCAATATTTCTTATTCTTCAATAAATATTCACAAGGCCCATATTTCACCAGGCCCATAGCCAGCCATGTGTCAGAGGTGGTTCTTTTTTTTTTCAAAATGTGGACTTTTTGCAGTTATTCACCCAATTTCTATTTGATTATGATCTTTAAATACTCCAATAAGTGGCATTTTAAGCACTCTTTTAGCTGGATAGCTTGTTGTATCCTCTATTTTTAAGTACCAAAAATATTTCCTAAAGATTTATAATAAATAAAAAAAGTTGCAATTTTTTTCTAGCCCCTCTTGAAAATTCATCTAACAACAACAGCCTAATTAGTATAAACAGCAGAAGTCAGTCTGAGACACTTGAAAAATGTAGGGAAAATATTAAAAATCCTTTACTGACATGGCTATTTCTTCAAACTCACACTTGACTTCATAAGGGTAACCTGATACAGCCGCAGTTTCAAGGAACAGCCATGTCAATAAAGGATTTTTTTTTTTCACATTTTTTGAGTGCCTTGGACTGATTTTGATGTTTATTCTGATGAATCCCTTACAAAGAGCACCGACACATTAAGTTACATATAAGAACTTTGTATGCTTTTTGGATTTTTATACACAACCTAATTAGTATTAAACTGTGTACAGAACATCATTGTCAGTATTGCCAACTAAGCAATTTTGTAGCTAGACTTAGCAACTTTTTTTTTTCAAAAAGCCCCTAGCAACAAACTTAGCAATTGATAACATTCATTTGGCTACTTTTAGCAAATTTTGAAAAAGTGACTCAGAGTAGTGACTGCAGGCTTCACTCAGTAAATTGCTAGCTCAGATTGCATTTCATAACTGTTAATTTACTGTTAATTGTTGGTAACTTGGGTAGCAATAAATTCCAATAGTGCTGTAATTGCTGTCACTTTCATAAATGTGGTAATTTCACAAGTTAAAAAAAGTACAGATTGTTTAAAAGAATGTACCTGTTCATAATCAGTGTTTACGGGGAAAAATTCTTATCCAAAAAGTGTTTGCATTACTTTTACAAATAGTCAATTCTATTTTTCATACAAATCTATATGGACATATTTCAAATAATGTTTTTGCTGAGATGGCCAGTCAATTTGAGAAAACGTAAATTATTTTTTATACAACATAAAGATGTAGTTTTGAGTTGATTATGCAATGACGACATCGCGCAAAGCAATATGTTAATTAGAACCTATTTATATCTGGATGTAATGTTTAAATGTAATATAATACACTGCACCTCGGAGAGTAAAGAGATGACGGGCTTACGCTTGCCAGATATTACAAGATGACGTGACGGATATGCAAATTAGTGGGTGGCAACTTTTCGTGCAGGCTTTTGGATCCTAGCAGTTTTACGACCCACAATTTTACGGCCCTGTTGTTCCTAATGCGTCCGGTAGGGAGATGAAAGATACATGGCCAAATAATACATTTTAAGTCAGCGCTCCTAGGTTATAAAATATCCTGTTCATAAATATTTATTTTTAATTAGATTACGCTAATATGAACGCTAAGTTAATGTATCAAAAAGTGAGTTATAAACTCACTATTATAATATGCATACTCTCAACAAATAATTTCAGATATGCAAAAGCCCAATTGCAAATTAATATAGATTTAATTATAAATATAAAAAAGCAAATAATTGGATAGTGTAATGGTTAATAGTAGCCTAGTTATTCGTTTTCATATAGAGATATGCATTTTGTTCTATTGTTTATATGTAAAGTTGCATTTTGAAAATAAAATTATAACCAAACAATAGTGTAATATGGAGTAATGATGTGCTTTGATGATGCGGTGGTATTGACTACCAGCCAGCTGCAGAACGTTTAGACAAACAATTCACTCCTTTCTAAAATTCAAAGGACCATTTAGCTACCTGACAAACAAAAACCCAGACATTAGATTTCTTTTTTTACATTTATTTATTGACAACAATATCATTAGATTGGCAGCTTTCTTAAAATGAAGCTGAATCCTTGCATCAAATTCTTCATGCTCACTAAAAAAATAAACAAATAGTTATGTATAAATACTCTGCAAAAATCCTTTACGCACTTAAAAGTTTGATCTGCTTCTAGACCAAATATCTAAAAATTCTTAATCCCCCAAAAAAGGAAAGAATGGCAAATGAAAAGCAAAAAAATAAATAAATAAAAAAATCATGCCATTTTATATATTACCTAGACCAATGCGAAAACTTATCAAAATATGTTTTTATATATTTGATTTATTCTTTAAGAATTATAACAAGGTAAAACAAAAGGACCAAGACATTTTTATTTATTTTTTATTTGCAGCTACAAATTGTGATACCGACTTTCCCATATTTTATTATTTTCTTTGTAACAAATTGTAACAACAAATATTAGAAAACAACAATATTATTGCATGTGCAATGCAAACTTCATAGCTAATATACAAAATGCACTGTATAGCTATATAAATAAAAATCAGTAGACCATTTAAAATTGTGAGTTTCTTTGCATATATTTATATATATATGATAGTTTAATTGTTTANACTAGAACATTATAGCATTATATTAAATGTAATTGAATGCAAATATGGTTGTGTGGTATAGTTCTGGAGGCTTAAAAAAATACTGCACTGCCTCCCTCTACTGGACGCATCAGGGACAACAGGGGTGTAAAACTGCCTGGGACGTAGAACTGCTTAGGCCGTAGATCTGTCTGGATCCAAGTCCGCAGTCTCCCCTCCTCTTGGAAATAGTTGGCAACACTGATCGTTGTGTACACTGAAAAAAAAAATGCTGCAAACAATTTATGCGTTGAATTTAAACAAAGTAAATTTATTAATATTCAACTCAACTTGTTTGTTTAAATTCAGCCCAAATAAATTGTTTACAACCACTTAAATTAGTAAATGCAAGGATTCATATTTGAATGTTTTTTCAATGTACGGGGAATAAGGTTAGTCTATGTTAGTCATATATACTGTACTAATTGAATGAATGAGCGAATATAAAACCAACTTTACCTCAATTCAACATCACTCATCCTGCACAACAAACTGAGGCCTGCTCTCATAAAAAAACACCCCAAATATTAACAAACACACCCTGAGTCCAGTTTATTCAAAAAGCGGCACATCCGCATAAACAATTAAATAAATGTTTAATTCAACATTCACTCGACAATCACCGTCTGGAAGACGACGATAAATCGACCGAGAGCATCACAAAAACCCTTTAAAACGAAGCAAACTGTAGTATAACAGTTTCTCGTTTAGGCTAAACATTTAGCAGAATTCAATAGGGTATATGCTGAGCTAGTGTTTTTCCCATACTGATAAACTTGCGATGACCTGCTATTGTTAACTTTTTTCCGTTTTATACGGTTCCTTTTACAGTATCGATGTTCAGTTAAATAAACTTTGGTATTTAACTTCAGTTGCTTGAGCGTAAAACGAGACAAAAGGCCGTTTGCTGCCATGCGCCCGTCAGAATCGGCAGGATAGCGCAGAAGCTCCACTGAATATTCCGGGAAAAAATAAATGCTCACATTATAATGCTTATTTATTAAAAGTCATATTAGCATGCTAATAGGACTTTTAATCTGGCAGTAACCTGGGTTAAGCGCTTCTGGCGAATTGAATGCCAATGCAAAATCGCTGCGTTTATGGTCCGCTTTCTTTAAAAATCAGCGATCTCCACTGGCTGAGTGATATCCGATTTAAAGTAGGTCTCATATTTTACAAGCACTGTATTAAATTACATTTTCCCGGCCATGTCTTTATAATACGAGCATTTATTTTACCTCAGTATATTCAATGAAACTTCTGCGTTAGCCTGTCGCTTCTGATGGGCGCGTGCGAGTAAAAGGCCTTTTGTCTCGTTTTACGCTTGAGCAACTAAATGAATGCCAAAGTTTATTTAACTGAACGTATTTTAATGACATTACAACATCCATGCTGTAAAAAGAACCGTAAAAAACGAAAAGAGTTCACAATAACAGATCACCTGAAGTTTATCAGTATGGGAAAACACTAGCTCGGCATATACCCAATTAAATTGTAAAGCTATTATTTTCACAAACAAAACTTAACTCAATTCAAACCGGGCAGCAGGTTAGCAACACCAGTACGTTGATCAACAAAACAAACGAACATAATATACCTTTTGTAAGCTGCTTTACAGATTGGTCTCAAACTCCTAGTGTGATTTTGAGGATGATGTGTCGACCTCTGGCCAAAAAGCTTTTTGGCGGTAAACTGCGTGGATCCCATCGAGTGTTTGGAGCGTTTGTTTGTTTAACGTTACTATTGGAGAACTTAGCAAACTATCGAACTGGCAAACAGGTGAGCCAGCTGACGTGCGTATTTATACCAAAATCACAACCTGCCCCGCCCCTGCGCGCCGACGTCACTACACCTGCCCTCCACATTTGCAATCACGTGGTTTTGGTGAGGCGCGAAATTCAAGTGGAGGACTGCGGTCAGGCCAGCCGCCAATGTATTTCGGCGGTCGCTCATACACTGCATATTACGGTAGAGCGCCAAAGGGCTGAACTGAACACAAATACTGTTGGCAGTTTGTCATGATACATCTGCGTCTCTCACTGACTGATGATACAATAATAAATAATAACGAAAAACAACTAATTAATGCAACTAACTTTTAATACTTTTTTTTGTCCCTGTATTCAAAAAGGTATATCATTAAAACGAACTGATTTCACAAGCCAGCTACACCTTAGATCAGGGGTGCTCAATCCTGTTCCTGCAGATTTCAGTTGCTACCCATATAAATAAATATATATATATATATATATATATATATATATATATATATATATATATATATATATATATATATATATATATATATATA